CAATGTACAGTTTGATGGATTTTAACAGTCCTGTTTCTTAATCTCCACTTAAACTCAAAATTTAGGGAAAACACTAGCAATGAAAATAGCTCCCTCTGGGCTCAAGATGCTAAAGTAATCTTTTGGGTAGGAATAACCCACAAAGGAATCTATCTGTGGCCCTCACAGTATCTAGGAATGAGTGTTGAAGACAGTAGTTGGATTCCACCCTGCTGAAGACTTAGGACTCAGAGAAGTCACACTACTGGAAGGGGCACATCTGAGATTGAAATGCAGATTGGCCTTATCTCAAAGCTCATTAACTGCTACACTATCTTTACTTTTCCCACACAGGTTATTATCACATTTCATGGCTTGTATCTCTTACTTCACTGTCTTCAGTCAAGAATTTTCTGTTTATGAGACTGGTGAGGCAGAGACTGGGCATTTGGGTGTGTTTCTGAGGAAAGTAATTTATGACAAGGTAAACAACCCCAGTGCTCCACACACTGGCCACAAAACCACATTTGCATCATATCCATTTTTCTGCTATCAGCAAACAAGTCACAGAGACAGAAATAAATGGCTACAGGGAAGAGACGAAGGTGGGACTAAGGGGGGGAGCTGTAATGATGTGTTCTCTTTTCTAGGTGCTTGCCAGGTACTGCATTTCTGGAGGAAGGACCAGGAAGTGGCAGCTCAGCTTTTAAAGGTAATGGAGGCCCAGGAGAAGAAAACCTTTTTGATTGTTGCTATTTTTGTTATGGTTGTTATTTTATTTATTTTTAAGACAAAGGAATTTTGTCTTGCAGATAGCTAAGATTTTCCTGGTGGTGAAGTCTGTGGAGTCTTTGCTATGTGTGTAATGGGAGAGTTCTAGATGGCTTGTTAGAGACCTGGTTGTGGTTCCGGCTCTGCCAATGTCTTCCTGGGTTACCTTAGCCAAGTAGCCAATTTTCTTGGGCCTTGATTTCCTCATCTGAAAAAAGCGGAAGGTGTGGTGATGGCAACTTGTCATTGAGATTTTCAAGGTCTTCTTTTGTCTTAGACCTAGAGTCTTCAAATACCAAAAAATACCTACAAGATGCCCAGTTAAATTTGAATTGCATTTAAGCAGAAAATACTTTTATAAGTGTATCCTATGCAATGGGTAATGATTAATATTTTTGTATGTGTTCTTATTATTTTATGGGATATACCTGTATACTAAAAATAGTTGTTCATCTGAAATTAAAATTCAATTGAGCATTTTCAATGCTTATTTACTAAGTGATTTGGCCTAAAATCTGATGAATGGACCATCATAGAATTTAGAAGTGACATTAACAAATTTTACACTTTCATAGCCAAATGTTTTAGTATTTACCAGCGGGATTTCCATGAACTTAAATTAAAGTGACACAATTGTAAAAAATCTCATATTGACAAACAAAGAACCATTTACTATCTGGAGTCTAAAATTATATCAATTCCTTGCTACATCTGTGCACCCATTTATTAAGTTGGTATTTACTGAGCACCAGCATAAACCAGGAACTCTAAGAGGTTTCTATCCAGAACCATATGTTTTCTCATAGATTCTCCAAGGTAATTGTTACTCTCATTCTGCAGATAAGAAAGTTGAGGATCAAAGGATATCTTATAGTGAGTAAGAGGGAGAAAGATGGAAACGGCCATCTCATCTCTTCTTATCACTTTTCTTCACAATAAGAAATTATTTTGAATTAAATGAATGGAAAGATGCTACAACCTAATGGATACCCTCGAATAAGAGACCCAATATTTCCTTTTATTTTGGGGAAACATAAAAAGGGGGGCAGAGGAGGAAGTGGAGAGTGTGACCTTCCCCAGAATATCAGTTCTACCAGAACAAGGTTCTGGTTAATGCTTGCTCTGTTTTCACGATTAAATAGAGTAATTTAAGAACTATTTGCTGAAAGCCACCTATGTGCTAAAGGACATGGATTAGACAATAAAAAGGCAGACTGCCCCCTACCCAGCTGTAATTTGAAAGCTGGCAGAGTATTTCCTTCTTAGTGATTTGACGGTCGGGAATGGCTCAATGGCAATCAACAGCAAGAACACGACATGGTTTTCGGGAACCCAAGGTGGTGCAGGAGTTAGGTGATTTGCCAATAACCCAAAGATCAACAGTTGGAACCCACAGACTGCTCTGTGGCTTCCATAAAGATACACCCATGGAAACCTGGTAGAGCAGTGCTACTCTGTCCTGTAGGGGGTCTACAAATTGGGCTGGACTGGACAGCAGTGGGCTTTTTGGCTTGGGTTGGAACAAAGTACTTTTTTTTCAAGTTACTAACTTAAAACAATTTGTAGTTTGAACCTACTCAGCGGTGAGCCTGAGAAGAAAGGCCAGTCAATCTGTTTCTATAAAGACGATGGCCAAGAAAATCCAATGGAGCAGTTCCAGCCTGTAACACACCGGTTGCCATGAGCTGGAATCGGCTTGACAGCAATGAGTTGGGTGTGATTTTTGTGGGTGTAGGAGGTATTCTTGAGGTACACGTCGTTCAAGGAAGTAGTCATGTCTGTTCTTAGTCTAGCAGTTCTGTTGAATCCTGCTCACTTTAGCTGTCATTGCTGGTATTGAAAATACCAGTGGCATGTCTGTATAGAGGTGGTGAGATCATACAATGTTTTTCCTTTTGTCATGAGCTTGTTTTGCTCAATATAATGCCTTCGAATGCTAGCCACACGGTTACATGTATCAAAACTTCTTGTTTCCTAGTGACTATTATTCCATTGTATGGTTATTTAGGTGCCATTTTTTGTTTATCCATTCATCTGCTGATGAGCATTTAGTTAGTTTCCACCTTGTGGGTATGGTAAATAATGCTGCAGTGAACATTGGTATACTGGGCTTTTTTTCAGTTTCTGCTTTCAGGTTGTTTAGGTACATACCTTGTAGTCGAATTGCTGGGACCCATTGTGGTTCTACTTATAGTTGGTTTAGAAACCACCACCTTGTTTTTCAAAAAACCCGTACCATTTTACATTTAAAACAGCTTGATAAAGGTATCATTATCCCCCCATACTCACTAGCATTTGCTATTTTCTGTTTTTGTTCAGTTTTTTAGTCTTTGCCATGTTGTTGTGGCTAGGTGCTGTTGGGTTGGCTCTGCCTGTTAGGGGCTTTAAGTGAAACTGAATCAAAGGCTGACCCATCTTGCCATCTTCACAATGGATCGCATGTTTGAGCCCATGGACACAGATACTGGGTCAATCTGTTTTGTTGGAGGTCTTCCTTTTTTTCCTCAGTACATTACCCAGCGTATTGTTCTTCTCCAGTGACCAATCTTTCCTAACTGCATGATCAAATTAGGTGAGATTGTGATGGTTAGGTTTATTGTGCCAACTAGGCCAATAGGAACATGTGGGCAGAGTTTAATCAGGTCTCAGCTTGATTGGAGAGCAACAAGAGATAAATGGCTTTCCTAGGCCCGCCCCCTTCTCTCTTCCTCCCTGGTGATTCGACAAGTGTGCTGCTACTTGAGCTAGTTCTTTGCCTCAACCGTGTGCTGCACTACCTGTGGGACAAGCCAACCCATGGATCCTGTCGCTGTAGTTTGAGGCTCCTTTGGCACCTGCTTCACCATGCTGCTGGTGCATACATTGCGCTAGCTTGAGGCTGGTAGATCCTGTCACAGGGCATGCTTGAGTCTCTCATTCAGTAGCTTTTTTTGTCTCTTCACTTTGTTGGCAAAGTTTCTGATGGTTCTTATATTTGTTTCAGATTAAATATAAGATTAGAAATGATCATCTTTGCATACAAGCTCACCATGTGCCATGGCATATGACTAGGAAGCTTCTATTTCTTTAATTGACATCGGTCAATTAAAGACATTGGTCTAATTGTAAGGTCAATGGATCCAACCCACTAGTCATTCTGCAGGAGGAAGATGAGGTTATCTGCTCTAAAAAATTTTAAAGCCTTGGAAACCCTGTGTGGTGAAATTTAATATGGGTCTTATATCCATGTCTCTGTAACTCCCACCAAATAATGGTTGTGAACATACAAACAGGATGTATGAATCATTAACAGAGGGGATTGGTCAGTTTTAGTTGCCACTCCACTGGCTATGAGAATGAGCTACCTCTGAAGTGGGGACAGAGGGGTTCTCAGGACCATCAAGGCAGAAGAATCATTAGTGGAGCAGGCTGAAAATTTCTGACTGAAGTGGTAGAGGCACCAGAAGCCATGCCACACCAAGACCAGAGGGCAAGGCAAAGAGATCATGAGGGAGAGCAGAGAAATAGCACAGAGGCTCAGGGACTGAGCCTGTCAGCTGGGAAGTGTTGCCATAGACCAATGACTATATCCTGAGCGTTTCCTGATCCTGGCTTGTGGTGACCTGTTTAAGTCCCCTAATTCTAATGATTATGAGTATTGTATGTGAGTTCTGTGTGGACGTTGCAATGAATTATCAAGCCTACCAGAAAAGTAGTGTCAGGAGAGGAATGGTTGGTATAAGACCAGGGAAGAGAAGGATTGGGAGTCTGACCTCTTCCTCATGGCAATAAGCCTTGGGCTGGTGAAGTTATGGATTCTCCTCTCACTACTGAAGCCAGAGAAGTTCAGATATGGCCTTTGAGCTATTTTTGTGTTCTATATAGGGTTTCTATGAATCAGAATCAACTTGGTGGCAGTGGTTTTGTTCATTTTGTTTTTGGATGTGTATGTGAACTTATACTGAGCCTTTGGTTATAGCAAGGAAATGCTGAGAACTGTGTTGCAATCCAGTGGGTCAGCAATACCAATTAAAGCTGAATGCATGCACGCTCATTGCCCATCGATTCTACTCTTAGATTTATATCCAAAAGAAGCGTGTGCACATGTGTACTCCCAAAACATGCAAAAGAATATTTATTTTAGAATTATTTATTATAGCTAACCAAAGACAACCCATGTATATGTTCATCAATAGTAACATGAACAAGCTGTGATATATTCATAGAATGTAACATTGTATAGGAATGGAAATGAATGGACTGCACTATACACAACCACTCGGATGCATCTCACAAACTTATTAAGCAAAACATGTCAGGCACAAAACATTATGTGTTTTATGATTCCATTTGTTTAATGTTCAAAATCAGGAAAGGCCAATCAATAGTTGAAAACTCGGAATGGTGGTTACCTTCGAGAGGCGTATGTAATGATTAAATGGGCACAAAAGGGACTTTACGGTGCTTGCATATCCTCTTTCATGATCTGTGTGTGATATCTTGGTGAGTTCAGTTGTGAAATTTCTTTCAGCTGTGTACATATTATTGTTCACTTTTCTATACAGCAATAAAATTTTATCTCCAGGCAGTGGGTGGAAGGGGGGCGGGGGGCAAAAAAGTAAGAAAGGCAAAGCTGGTGAATAGATAAAAATGAAAAAAAATTCAGCACATGCATTTTAAGAAGATATATGGTACTTCCTTAGATTTACCTATAAGTACATTAATCGGATAGAGATTCTTATATGGAGATATATATTATATATATCAAGCTCTCACTAGTACATAAAAGGTAAGTATTTAAAAGAGGGAAATCATAATTATTTTTCAAAGTAAAATTTTACAAAGTAAAAATATTTACAAATTTTACATGTTTTGAAGTTTTTATTTAAAAATATGTAAAAATGAATAGTTTGGTTTTACCTACATTTTAATCTACATTAAACATGTAATATCAAATACCAT